TGGGGCTTCTTCTTCGATGTTTGTCATAATCTCACTACCAATGAAAGAGCTTTACAAGATGAATCCCCTTCTCCACTCACGCAATTTTGCTGGATCAGGCTTTCGCCCAAGGTAATTTTATTGCCTTACTTTCTAGGTGACTAGAAATAGGAAACTCCACTATGTCCTTCAGGACGATACAGAGAAGATTGGCCCGTGCGCAAGGATGACAAGCATAAATCGAGAAATGGAAACTCCACTGTATGCAAGAAACTCCTCGAATAGAAATTAAATTCAATTAGAGGGCAATCCGCAGGAAACCAACATATGTCTGCATAGGATCCTCAAAGACTTTATGTGGAGCTACTACTAATTGATAAACCAACAGATGTCCGTATAGGATCCTCAAAGACCTTACGTTGAGCTACTACTAATTTATAATATAAACGATTGTATGCAAAACTATAATAATTACAAACACCTTGTCAAATCTGATTAATTTTTTTAAGAATCTTTGCAATATCCAAGTTCACCCAGGCCAATTTGGCATGTGGTTTACCCACTTCATCACAAAATCCAGATCGACTAAGGATTTTTAGGAGCAGCTTACTCCATTTAGCTCTATAATTGTGTTGTGTTTGGAAATTCCAAGCGGTATTTTCAATCATAATTGCAATAGGTGGGCAGAGCAGCGCTGGTCTGCAAAGTATCTGGGTTCCAAATTGTGCAAAGTATCTGCGTTCCAAATTCTCGTTTGCAGATGCGACCATGAAATGGAAAGTTTGGAAGCTATCAACAAATACCAGTGCTGCCTCCAGCAAGCAGTTTCGGAGTTCGAGCGCCCACTTCATTCGCTGGCCTTGAGTGTGCGACCGACTAACTCAAGTCCATCGATCTAGACTCCTTCCCGTCTGCTGAGTTCGTTTTCCTCATTCGTTCCAGATTCTGTGACGTGGCATCTGGCCTCCCCCCTCTCTTTTACAAATGATTTAGACCCCAGGCCTCTGTGTGTGTGCGTGTAGAGAAACAATTAACGATAGAAAAAAAGAGAGACACCTCCCCCCTCTCTTTTACAAATGCTTTCGCCCCCAGGCCTGTGTGTGTGTGCGTGTAGAGAAACAATTAACGATGCAAAAAAAGAGAAACAACGCAATTTGTTGTGGGCACACGCACACTACTGTGCCGACCATCCTCCCCCCCACGCCCACCTTCACCCCACCCTCCTGCCCCACTTAAACCAGCCTCATCCACTGCGACTATCCTCCTACGCCACTGCGCCCACGCTAGCCCCAATTCAACCACCCTCATCCACTAAGCCTATACTCCTAACCCACTGCCCCGGTCCTCCTGGCCCACTGCATCGACCGTATTCCCCCACTGTCCCGACCATGCTTCCGCACTGACGTTGCGGATTCTGGTCGTTCATTTGAGGGAGTTGTCACTTAGCTCACGCATTTGCTACGTGAGAGAGAGAGCACGTAGGCGCGGACCACCTGTAGCGTAGAATAGCAGAGTACAGTAGCTTGGAGCAGCGTCTCTCTCTCTCTCTCTCTCTCTCTCTCTCTCTCTCTCTCTCTCTCTCTCTCTCTCTCTCTCTCTCTC